TATTGCCACATTTATGAGCTTCAGTACCTACTAGCCCAGCCCCTTCGAAGCAGATCCGATCGGCAGCACTGCGTTTATATTGCAGCAATTTCGTATCAATTGAATATTTTCCACGAATGCACAAAGGCCATAAAGCGCGTCGCGTGGAGTGCAACTAGAAGTGGGAGTACGAGTAGATATATGTATGTATGTATGTAGGAGCAAGAAGTATATTCAAAACATGGGCGAGGAAGGACACATGCCTCTTCTGTTTTCTGTCTTCTGTTTATGCCAATTTTTATATGCTTTCATTGCCCGCCCGCTTCACCTTCACTTTGCATGGGCCCATTGCCATTCCCATTTCCATTGCCATTCCCGTTCCCGTTTTATTGGCCTCGTCCGGCGTCTTTTTGTCATCGTAATTCACGTGTAAAACATGCCCGTTCCGTCCGTCCCCGCTCTTCCGCTGCCTCAATCCTCAAACCCATTTTTGGCCCAAAAGAAGAGGATTGCGCGTGCGCGCCTCTCCATTTGTTTGCATTGAGCGCGCGCCTCGCACGCCCCGAGCCCCGACCCAGCCCGATCCGGCCCGGCTCCGAGCTGACAAATCAAGTAATGAACAAACAAAAATGCAGCAAGAGAAAGGAGACGGCGAAGGAGGCCCAATGTCGATTCCCTTGAATTTTCGGCGCACGAATCAAGTTCTTTTAACACTTGCCAAAGTGGCAAGTGCATATGGCTGCAGCAGTGGATGTGCTGGTACTACACCAACTAGTGGCAGTGGCCTTGCCCAAAAAGGCCAAGATGTGAATTAGGAATGGAATGCCACTGGCACTGGCCATATACATATGGCCGATGTAAGGTGCAAAATATATTATAGTATAATTTGAAATTAAAGAATAACAGCTTGACTTTCATTATGGAACGCCCACAGCTACAAACATATGCCAGTTACATACATATAGTATATACAGGATAATATACGGATATATTCGGATATATATACGGATAAGGGATAAAGGATTATTAGCTTAGAAATATTATTTCATGAATAATTTCAAAGACAAAGGCCTAAAGTTCCTCTCCTGTAAATTATGAATAATTCCAGTATTGAAGTCACACTCTTCACTCCCAGTTTTAGTGGTACGAGTATTACTCATCTCTATCTAGAGCCGCACACTCGATTGATTGCCCCACAATCTGTGTGTGTCCCAGTACCTCTGACTATAGAACCCAAACGGAGAGCCCCTAAGAGGTTAGAGCTTACTAGAACCCATTGAAAAGCCACGCTATCTGCTGGAAACAGTGCAATCTCAGCCCTTCAGGGGATGGACAAGTGGCAGCTAAGCTGCCGACCGCGCATGTAATGCATGTTTGGGGCACTCTGCGAGATACTTTGAGTGGCGAAAACCATAACAAACACCTCCGATAAGCTATCGACAATTGAAAGTGGAAGCAAGTGCGGACCCAACCGTGTAACCGGGGCTTATATCATGTGCTTCCCGAGTGTGGAAGCTCTGGCAGCACTTGCAGCTCCCTGGAGTGGCGTGGGGTGGCCAAACTGCAGCTACGTGCTTGTTGGCACCCAGACCAGACCGAAATTCAAGTAGCCTGTGCAGTTCAGCCTTAATGCGCCCATTGGCACTCGACGGTGCGGACAGGCGGGACAGCACAGGAAACTGCAGCTCCAGCCTAACCACTGGCAGCACCACTGCAACTGCCGAACCAAAAGGCCAAGCGGCGGCACACTCTTGAGATTGGCTGCAGTTATCTGCCGCTGCTGCCGACAGTTTGGCAACTGGCAGCCAGCTACCCGTCATTGTCCGGCGGCACGAGCCCGTCCCGTCCCGTCCCACTGCCGGGGTGTGGGATGTAAGTGGATGTGGATGGAACCCCCTAACGACTGCAGACTTTCTGTTTGCCTTTTGTCCAGACGTTAATTGGATCACTGACTCACTGGACTCCACTCCCCAGTAGGTCCCTTGGACACAGCTGTCTGGCTGACGCCCGCTGGGCACACATGTCCTGTCCTTTGATTGCCTACTAATCCCGGCCATCGATGCTCGGGACAGGAACAGTCCTTGGTCCAGTCGAGGCGACAATCGAAGTAAACAGCCAGACAAATGAGCAAACAAATGAGCTGAGCACAGACCAGACCAGCCCAGACCAGCCCAGCCCAACGGATGTGTCCTTAAACGGACAAAATTGGATCATAACTGCGACTGCGACTGGCGTTGGCGTTGGCGAAATGCTGAAATCTGTGCAAACAGCGCATTAATTAAGTCCTGCAGCGACACCCAACATAAAAAGGATATCGCTCGAAGGATGCCCAGCAAATCGGTGGCCATTAAAGGAGAACAATGTCGGAGCGTGTGGCGTGAATTGCGTCACGGTTCTGGGGAGCCTTGAATGTCGCAAACATTTAAGGGCCAGTGACGTCAGCTGAGATAAACATTTGTGTTGGCAGTAGGGATGGGGAAGAGAGCAGAGCCACTGCAACTTGGGAACCCTTTTTCAGTGGATATTCGACTGCAATAAAAACCCAGTACCTTCTGCCATAAGTGTACAGATTCGCTGTAAAGCTTAACCTCTAGATAAAAAGAAGAACCAGAAGTTTCAGTAGAACAACGCCACCCAAACTCGTCCTTCTGCTGGAAAGAAATGCGCAGAACTTGTAGAGTCGCTCGCAAAAGTACTCTGTGAAATCTGAAATGAAACCCTATAAACTTAAACTCTAGATAAACCTAATGTAGAAAATACAGAACCAGAAGTGCCAAGGCGTATGGGACTGGGACTGCGAATGGGACTGGGAATGGGAGTGCCAACCGAAGCCATTCCCATGTGTATTTGACCCCTGATATTGCCCAGATAGAGATAGAGAGAGAGAGAAAGAGATCCTAAAACCGAAAACCTATTCCCAGTCGAAACGATTGTGGAAACTCTTTGGCTGCTCGCAATACTCGCAATGATAGTAATCAGCAATCAGAGTTTATAATGGGGGCGTCAAGTCGCTGCTGGATCCCCAACATCCAATACACAGAGGGGCCTGCACGCACAGCCGGCGAAATATGTATAATGATTCCCATGGGCACCTACTTATCGCCCGAATGTTCGTTTTTAATTGCTCTGTTTGCTTCGAATACTCGTACTACACACATTTCGCTCGGGCTGCAGCTCCTCCGTAGCTCTTGTTGAATTTTATACACAGTTTTTTTTTATCGAGCGAAGACACTTACCGAGAAAACACTTAACGCTAACTGGCTGTTATCGTATGGGAGAGGGGAGAGAGCGCTAAGTGTGCTAAGAGCCAATCGGCATCAACATTGGGGGCCTGGGAAGTGGGTCGATAGAACGAACGCCCACACACCCACTCCCCACACCCCACACTCACTCCCACACCCACACCCACTGCCATGTTCCATATCCAAGCCTAACGAGCCATGCCATCCATGCCATGCCATCCATCCATCCAGAGACTCCAATCGAGTTGCTTCAGGCCTCTGCTCTGCTCTGCTCTGTTCCCAAAAAACCCTCAATTCCTCTCTTCGGGGGCGGGGCAGCCACTTCAAATTACAGCCACTAATCTTTGCGGGCATGTCAGCCGGACCCGTACTCGTACTCGCACCCGTACCCGTACACGGACACAGACACGGACACGGTCCAAAAACACACACAGCAACCAGCAACCGCAGCTCAAAGTGCAAAGTGCACTTGACAGACAGCCCCAGCTGCGGCAGCTGCATCTCTTTGCATCTCCGCATCTCAGTAGATGTCTGACGCATTTTGACTGCATTTCGAATGCCAATTACATTTATTATCGGTTCACATCGCTTGCGGTTCAATTAACGCTTACTACTGTCCATTATCGCTGGGTTGAGTGCTTCGAGGGTCTGTTTCCTCAATTGGCATCGCAATTCAATTGTCCAGGCGAATATCTTGAGGCTTTTCATAATCGAACGTTAGAGACATTTGACTCAAGTTAACACTTGCATTGATTTCATAATGTGTGAAGTTTACATATATACATATGAATGTATGTCTGTGTGTGTGTGTATTTTGGGCGAGTTAAAGGTTACAATTGTATATTTGTGGGATTTGTGCTCATACGTTATAGAGTTTAATTGATTCGCATTCATATTGCTTCATATTGAGAATTCCTTGTTCACACATTTGACCTCGAGCTGAGAATGAGAACAGCCGCCCATAATGAGCAGGCTCAAGAGATCGCAGCATCAGCCGGTACAAAATGCAAGCGGTTCAGCTTCAATTTTACAATTTTCCGCGTCCACATACTCGCTGCAGAACCGTCTAGTTGTGTCGGCTCAATTTACAATTCCATTCTACAATTAGTTGCCTTAAAGTGCCTAAATGCTGGTGGCTGGTTCTAGGAGTTTTTTTTAATATCTATAATTTTTTAAAATATTTTTCCTTTCACTTGCTCTAATTTGAAGTCTTTTAATTCTCGGCCAAATTAATTTGACAAATTCAACAATTCCACACTTGTTAAATCCCTTGGGCCAAAAGCAAATTCAAAATCAAATCTCAACGGTTTAAGTGGCGCCGCCTACACTACTAAAATCGACGGAGTGGCAACGCCAGAATTTCTACATTTAATATGTATATTACTACCTATTTTCTACATGGCTTATACATCAACACCGCGTGTTCTGTGTAGAATGCATGTAAAACTGCCACAGCCACCAATGCATTTTATCGCTCTCAATTCGTGGAGAGTTTGCAAAATTTGCTCTCAATTCGTAGGAGAGTTTTAAAATTTGCTCTCTTTTCAGTGGAGAAGAGAGTGTTTTTGTGGAGACTTTCCCCTCATTTTCGTGGTGTGGCAGCATGTTGCTGAAATTTTTCCCATACAAAATCAAATGTATCTTACGGGAACGCGTATGGAATAAAGATTCATTGTTGCGTCATTATCTATTATCTTTTATCTAAACAATCCAATGAAAAATAGTTCTGAAAACTAGCCAATCCTGAACAAAATTGATGTATCTATCGGATAAAATTATTTGTTTACGGCTGAGAGGGCCAACTATCTAGTAATATCAAACTGAATATCAAAACCTCTAACACACAACAAACGCTTGATAAACAAAAACGATTCGTATCAATCCGAGGAGCGCTCTAATCAAACCTACTCGTATATGTAAAATGTGTAGTTAGATAATCACGATGAATACAGTCGATCGAGAACAAAGCAACGATGACAATGTGGTGGTGGCGCATAAGCAGAAGCGTTTTAATTACGTTGTGGTTGACCCTCTTTGCGGGAACCGCTCCAGCAGCGCTGGGGGGAAACGTGTTGGCTGTGTACCCGCACTTTGGTTTCAGCCACTTTAAGGTGGTTATGCCGATGCTCACTGAACTGGCGAGGCGTGGCCATCAACTCACTGTTATCTCGTACGTGAAGCATCCCCAGGCATCGGAGTGGGCCAACTACGAGCAGCTGTTGATCTCCCAGCCCGAGGAGGATCAGTCGAGCACCACCATCAACGTGGTGTCATTGTCGAAACAAACACCCTCGCGATCATTGGTAACTCTTTTCGGAGAATACTTTGACCTACATTCGGAGGGCCAGAAGACCTGTGAGCGCCTCTACGCCAGCGGCCATGTGGAGACGGTCTTCAAGCGCCACCAGACGAAGCCCTACGATCTGCTGCTCACGGAGTACTTTAATTCCGATTGCCAGCTGGCCCTGGCGAAGCTCATGAATCTGCCAATCATTGGCTTGAGCACGTGTGCGCTGATGCCGTACTACTACGATCGCATCGATCTGCCGGACACGCCCTCGTTCATCCAGTCGGAGTTTGTGGGCTTTGCCGGTGCCCTCACCTGGGACGAGCGTCTGGTGAACTTCATCCAAGCGAAGGTGCTGAAGCTCCTCTACAGATATCACTCGAATCGGGCGGACAACGCCCTAGTCAGGAAGCATCTTGGCATCGATGTGGATGTGGATGAAGTGGCGCGCACTCAGACCGCGTTTATTTTTGGCAACCAGCACTACTCCCTGATGGGCAGTCGTCCGCAGTCCCTTCAATTCGTGGAGGTGGGCGGTGTACATCTTACCAGCCAAGCGGAGCAGGAGCTGCCCCCAGACATTGCTCAGTTCGTCGATCAGTCAGAGGTCCCCATAATCTTCTTCAGTTGGGGCTCCATGGTGCGCATCTCCAGCATCGATGTGGATAAACTTGCGGCCATTGTGGAGGTCCTGGAGCGGCAGCCCTTGCGTGTGATCTGGAAATGGGAGACGGATGAAAAACCCCAGTTGGACTCCACCAAATTCCTGTTTGTGAAGTGGGCGCCACAGCTGGCACTACTTTGTGAGTGACAAAGATTGAAACCCTCTGGAATGCATAACTTATTGAATTTCTCTTCTCTCTCAGGCCACCCCAAAGTGGAACTATTCTGGGCTCATGGCGGTCTTCTGGGGACTACGGAATCGGTACATTGCGGAAAGCCCATGCTGGTAACACCCATCTATGGCGATCAGTTCCTGAATGCCTTTTCCGTGCAGAATCGCGGAATGGGATTGAAATTGGACTATCAAGACATTAGTGTGGAGAGCTTAGCTCAAGCACTCGACAAACTGAGTAACAAGAAGTAATCATTGACGATATTTTGGTATATAGCCCGCCTAACATTATTCTCTCTCTTGTAGCTATGCCACACGATCCATTGGCATTTCCAAGATCTTCAATCAGCGGAAAAACAGTCCCCTGGATACAGCCGTCTGGTGTGTGGAGCATGTTATCCAGCATGGTTTGCTGGCTGCAGAACTGCTCCAGTCCCCAGGCATAGAACTCAAATGGTTCATTTACCACTCGCTGGATAGTGTATGCCTGATCCTCGTGGCGCTGATGGCCCTGGCCTACAGTCTGCACCACTTTTCTGGTGGTAGGCCATCAACGTCTTTCAATAGCAATCGACGCAGGAAGTCGAAGCGATCTTAAAGCAAACCATGACATTCGTTATAGCAATAAATATATAATTAAACAGAAACGTGCAAGGGTAAATCCTAGTCAATTCGGGCTTCAGTAGCGCAAGCGTTGCATGCAGTCCCTGCGACACTCTTCGAAGGTAAGGAAATTATTCTCCGTGGAGGCACAGCCCGTGTAGTAGAAGCTCTCACAGTTGCCCGTATCCTTGTTGTAGGCATAGCGCAGCTGACGTCCACGACACAGACCCGGAGCCTTGGGCTGCCGGCAAGCTAAGGGACAGCAATCATTAGCTTGAGATTTGCAGGGGTTTCATTTACTCACCAATCAGCTGTTGAACCTCTGCATGACTTTTATTATCCAAACTGGGAAGACAGTGCGTTAGACATATGCCCAACGCCAGCAGCAGCCAAAATAGTCTCCACTTAGGAATTGGCAGCATTATTCTTAATTCATTTAATAATAAATCTATAACTTTTCCGTTTGGGTGCTCCGTTCTGATCCGTTCGAGCGTCTGGCGTAGAATGTTCCCATATTAACTGTCATGCACTTTGACAGATTTTTCCCAGCTTTCTCTGTGGGCAATTCTCGGGGTTTTGTTTTGCTTGGCACGTAGCCGTGTGTTGCTTTTTGCCCAAATTCGCTTCCATTTTCATTTTTTCTTCGTCTTTTTGCATATTTTCTTACACTCGAGTGAAAACGTGAGCTTGGGGGTCTGGGGGGCTCACTTGAAAAGCAGGAAGTACCTTGGTTGAGGTCGAACTTTGAGTGAATATTTCTTATGAAATATTCTTTAGATATTGCTACATACATAGTATAGATATCTATGAACACGCTTTTCCATTTACTATAATTACTCAGTTTTATATTGCACCATCAAGTGACCAAAGCGACAACAAGACGAAGCTGTTATGCGTGGAAACGCAGCAGCCCGATGGGCGTTGCTGCATGATGCGTTTTGTTTCCATTTAAGAAGTAAACTTAACTAAAAGAGCTTAACCTATAACTTAAAAGTAGTATAACATATTAAACCATCTTTATTTATTTCCAAACAAAATTATTTGTCGCATCAATTTGTTTATTCAATTTCTAACTGATTTACTTATAAAAGACAATTTAAAAGGCATTATTATTCGTACAAATAACAGAAATGATTGCTAGAACTAAATGAAAGATAGAAGAAATATTACGTGGAGAAAATTAACAAATATTATGATGGGTGGGTGTGGGGGGTAGAGACATGAAAGTAGAAAGTGGTTCTTGGTCATATGTTGCATTAAAATATACTCTTAAAGACTATAAGGCAACCCGATTTGTATGTGTTTTTGTGTGTTTGTGATACATTAACAATGAATAATAATAATAATATGTCGTTATGTTAATAATATATACTTGTAGATATACAGATAGAAAAAAGAATTTATACAATGACAGAGCAGAGCTCCCCACCTACTTACAATTTACATCGATTCCAAAAACGAAAACTAGACACATTTCTCTCATTATCATTACATATTAATAGTTATAAACTCGTTAATAAATTCTTTCTGTTGCACATCATAAGGATACATACATACATACTCGTATATGCTAAGACGATGAGCCGATGTGTGTTTGTGTTTGTGTGTGTGTTTTGTGCGACTGCTACTCTTGGGGACTGCTGTGGGTGGCAGCTTTTGGGATTCAAGCTGCTGACTGTTGGCTTTGGCGTACATATGGCGCACTTAAGATCAATTCCTCTGTATTCTCCTACTCCTCATATTCCTGTTTGTTCTCCTTTTTATTTAATTATGATTGTAGCAGACGCTTAGAGAGAGAGCATCGTCTAGGAGACACGAGACCCATTCCAAAATCTAGAAATCCTTATCCCATCCACTGACATCATCTGCGGGCGGACCCTCTGGATCGGGTGGATAGTCATCAAAGTTAGTAGTGTCCACCACACTCTTGACTGCGGGCATGATTGGTGGTTCCAGTGTGCAATTTTGAAGGCCCCACCAGTAGAAGCCATCGAACCATCTACAAGAATAAACAGAACCTTAGCAAGGGAGTGGAAAATGTAAGTAAGAGAAAGTCCTATTTGATTGGGGCTCAAATGGAACTCTCTTTTTAATCTGGAAAACTCGTACTTGTGCTTCTGTATCTCGCTAATGCCGCCACGCTGATAGCCCAAACGTTCGGCTGGATTATCACGGCAGAGCTTCTTGATGAGGTTGCTGGCATTTCGTGTGATATTTCTGGGGAATTCGATGGCATCGATGCCCTTAAGTATGATGTTGTAGGTGCGCATGGGATCGGAGCCCGTAAACGGAGGGGTGCCTAAAACGAAGAAGGAAACAACATTAGTGAGTAATTCTTCACGAGAGATCTCTGCGCCACTCACCCGTCAATAGCTCAAACATTAGAACACCCAACGACCAGTAGTCCGCACTTATGTCATGGCCACGATTCAGTATCACCTCTGGGGCCACATATTCTGGAGTTCCACAGAATGTCCAGGTCTTGCGGCCCGTCTGCAGCTTCTTGGCAAAACCAAAGTCCACCAGCTTCACATAGCCGCGATCATTTAGCAGCAGATTCTCCGGCTTTAGGTCCCTGTATATAATATTGCGCGAGTGCAGATAGTCGAAGGCCTCCACCACGCAGGCGGTATAGAAGCGCGTGGTGCTGTCATCAAAGTTGCCCTTATCGCGCAGTATGGTCCAGAGCTCTCCTCCGAGACAGCTCTCCATCAGCATGTAGAGATACTTCTTGTCCTTGAAGGTCTTGAAGAGCTTCACAATAAACTGGCAATTGGCCTCGCCCATGATCTCCTTCTCGGACATGATGTGCTGCTGCTGGCGTGTCTCCACAATCTGTGATTTCTTCATCTGTTTGAGGGCAAACGAACGAGAGGCATCGCTGTTGGTCTGCACGAGTTCCACGCGTCCAAACCCACCCACTCCTAGGGTGGCAATCACACGCAAGTCTGTGAGATTTATGTCACGGAATTCCTCATTGATTCTGGAAGGGCACAAGCAATTACTTAAGGGTTCTCTACGAGGAGTCTCGCCCTCTTTCTCTCTTACTTGATGCGTTCCATGGCTCCTTCATCGTCGTAGCGATGCTTGATTTCATCCAAATTGGAGATCAACTGATTGAAGGTCTCGCGATCAATCACCAGACAACTAACGCCCTCGGGCGAATCACATATAATGTTGGCTGTGCGTAGATCATCGCTATAACGAAAAGATTTATTCATTATTTTGGATTCAAGGATTCCAAATTCTGTGGTTTACTCACCCCTGAAGCGCCTTTTCGCCAAAGAAGTCGCCCTTGCCCAACATTCGTATGAATTTCTCCTCCTGCGTGTCCTGTTGCTTGATCGTCACTTGCACTTTGCCCTTGGAGATGATGAAGAAGGTGTCGCCACGTGCCCCCTGGCGCACAATATAGTCGCCACGCTGATAGTGCGTCTCCTCCAGGACATCGGAGATTTTGATGAGCGTATCATCCGCTAGATCTTTGAAAATTGGAACACTGTAAAGAGATGCAAAATGTTTGGATTAACTTCGGTAGCAGATAACGAAACGAAAAGTGTTGCAATCCAACGAAAGTCGAGGATCTGAGATATTTTCAATAAATAAAGTGGTATGTTCCCAAGTGCGCAGGGTGGAGAAAGTAGCTGCAATTAGTGCTCAAGTCTCGATATGAGATTTTCCAAGGAATGTCTTAGATCTCCTCTGGCGCTAGCATTTACAAATGTACGAGTACGATGTATCTGTATCTGTATCTTTTGCATCGCAAATGCATCCCCCCAATTGCACTTTCATTTTCATTTGGAAGCTAATGCGGTTTTTGTTTTTTCCGCCATTTCATGCTCTCGAAACGAGTGCATGGCGAACCTCAATTATGGTTTTACGGGCACCCAACGGCGGGGTATGCCACCAATTAATTCATTGGTCACTTTAAAGATCTACGCGATCTACGGGACTTGGACTTGGACTTGCATCTGGGACTTGCATCTGGAACTGAAGGCCAAAAACTGGTTGGAATCGCCACAATTTGAAGCTCCATTTCGAAAAAAAAAAAAAAGAAAAAAACAAATTTCTATGCGTTCGTTGGCCGCAGCCGCACGTCATATGCGACGCCCATGACCATGACGATGACGAGACGAGACGATGTGGAGATGCCTGTCGATGATGGCTCTGTCTGGAGAAAGTTACTCTTTGCTGTACAACAAAATAAAAGCAAAAATGAAGAAATCCTTAAGCTGCAGCGATGCTGATGTTGATGTGCCCCATAATGGGGCAAACACGAAGTGCTGTGTGCATTTGCGGAATTGATATAATTAAGTGCAAAATGTACATTAATTAAGGCCAAAAAATGCCAACAAAAAACCAGTCGAAACTCATTAAAAATGCACATGAAAATTTTCCATTTTCCACTTTTGAGGAAATGTATAATGCAAAATATCTCCTCTAAATATGTATGTATGTATGTGGAAAAGGGTATTTTTACCTTCTGAGGAAATCCGTGTATTCCGCCTGACGTATGAGACCCGTGCGCATCATGATGGTCTGGAAGCACTGCCGCTCAATGGCCCACAGATTGCATTCGCTGATGGCCGTAATCGTGGCAGTTCTCTGGCAATTATAGAGAATCGCCAGCTCCCCAAGGACCTTGGCTCCAGAGAGGGTCGAGAGGTATTTGCCCTCGCGTGAGACCTCCACGCGTCCATCTGGAAAGGGCAATAAAAAGGGAAATTAATATTAATTAGTAGAATTAAATACAATTATATATCCCATCGTCAAGATTAATAGACCCCCAATACATCCGTGCAATAATCCCTTCAGACTCCCAAAATTATCTTCTGCTTAGAATTGTCCCACTGTAACCCTTACCGGTCGCTGGTTCATCTTCTTGTCCCGTACTCGACTGCTCCTTGAGATTCCCCGTGCGACGACGACGCGCATATGTGTGAACGGGAACGATAAGACGAGGTCGGGGTATGCAGAAGCTCTCCCCATTGAGATCCTTGGAGCTGCCGTTGCTGCTGGCAGTGGGTGAGATTTGTCGCGGCTCCGCCACCCTTGGACGAGTCTGTTCCTCCTGGAGCTGCATTCCTTGAAGCGCTTGCTCCAGGCTGTGCCTCCGCACTGCCGATTGATCTGTGGATCGAGCTGCCGCTCGGCAGAAGGAGGTGGAGTGATGGGGCATGCGAATGGTGGCATAGCGCTGGACACTAGTCTGTGATCTGCTCAGGGGTTTGGCGACACGCTGGGGCACTGCTAGCTGCTCCTTGAAGGTACGTTGTGCTGGGAATGGCTGCTCCCTGAAGGTACGTTTTGCCGGCAACGGCTGCTCCTTCGGGGCGCGTATGGGCGGCTCTGGTGGCGGCTCTCTGGGAGGCTGCATCAGCCGCGGCGCCGGCTGCATTCCTCTCTGTGGCTGCTGGCATACCACTACCTGCTCAGCAGGATCCTTTAGATCCTCAGCGGCAGAGGAGAACGTAGAGTACGCGGAGGAACTACTGTGGCTGGCTGTGGCTGCACCTTTGGGCTGCTTTCGTGGGGATCTCATCGTAGCGTAGCTCGGAGGCATGGCCATGGTTTGGGATCTGCGCAGCGAGGGAGGTTTCACTGACAACTGCTGCCGTGGGCGTGGCACTCGCGGCCGTTCTGTGGGATCGAGGACATAATGATTGACAGCAGGTTCTTCCACGTGTTCCGGGATCTTCTTTTTGGAATTGGAATCCTCCTCCTTCTGAGGCTGCTCCCCCTCCTCCTCTTGATCCTCTGTCACCCAATTGTTCTCCACGTGTTGCTGCTGGTGATGCTGCAGCGCCGATGGTCGATAGCCGTTCAGCTCCTTGATGCTCACAATCCTTCGCCTGTCCTTTGACTGCTGCTCCAACTTCCTGATGTTCTCCAGCGTCATTTGGTATTTGCTCAACGCTGAGATGCCATCCAAGAGAAAGCTGCTCCCCGCGCTGCTGCCCTGGCGGCTGAGGGTCGTCGTCGTTGTGCCGCCTGCGGGATGATGTGGAGCCGCTGCCTGCAACCAATTTGCTTCATAGATTGCCCCCATGGCACTGCTGCCCTCCAGCGAGAGGCTGGCATCTACCGCTTTTCCCGGATAATGTTTGATTTTCATTACGAAACGCTCTGCGGCTTCCCAACAAAACAAAAAGATTTCACTGTCCAGCGATGATGACGAAGTCGATGTTGACGACGACGTTGATGGACGTGCCTTGTGTTTTTTTTTTTCTGTTTCTGTCTTTAATTTAGTTTATGTTTTGGGGCGTGTATTTGTATCTTTTGCATAACCCACAGCACAAGACACAATCGAAAAGATATTTCGCGCATGGAATATTTGACGAGTCAGGCGATGGATCGGCGACGCCTCCAGAGGCCTAAAGGGGGCACAGGGGACAGACACACCACTAATTGTATTTGCTTTTCTTTTATTTTTATTGCTAAATAGTTTATTTATTTGTTATTGCTTTTGTTGCTATTTTTGTTGTTGCTTTTTTTGTTGTATGTTGTAAAACTTTCCATGTTTGTTTTTTTTTTCTTTATGTTGGAGTTGCCTCACGTTTTTTTGCGGATTGATTTGGTTTTATGGCCAAAAACCAAGTTCGAGATTTGCTAACGCATATGTACAATACATGACCATCGCTCAAAGACAGGTACTACTTTATATAGCTCTCTCTGGGCCGGACACCTGCTGTACCCCAATAGAGAGAGAGAGAGAGAGTCTACAACTAAATTGGGATGGAAATATGTCTCCAACTAAAGGAAAAATGCCAGCCACAAGGGAGCTGTCCGCTAATAAATATTTTCCATCAAATCAACACTCTGAAAATTAAAGGAAAACTGGTGCTGGAATAGCTTTCTAGAGCGGAAATTCCATATATCAAATGAGTTGCAAACCTCAGACTGAATTTAGTCTATGAAATCCATTCGATTGCCTTAACAAAGCTGTCTTTTCCACCCATATAGTGCCCACTGTACTCGCAAAAAAACCCACTCTCTTGACCGGTTTTCCAATAGGATTTCCCGTCGATCAAAGTGGAGCCACATGGCCGCCGCGCAGCCACAAAGAAATAATAGCAATTATCAAGTGCAAATTAATTTTCGGTCAATTTGAATCAGCGTGTGAATGAGTGAATCGTGCAAAAGTATTCACCAATGATTTTTCTGCGAGCGCGAATGCATTCAATGCTTAATCATCGACAAATTAGCCAATGAATGAATGAAAGTGCGCGAATGAGTGCGCAGAGAGGAGAGGAAGTGACAAAATAAACATTGAACAAACAAAAAGTGACGTAGTCTGGCGACCTACAGACGAATGCGAATGCGAATACAAATATTCGTATCCACTGGGCCTGGAAAGTGGAGCACCATTCGAAATTGAAAGGGAATTACATGGTACAATCGGGAGATTGCTTAAACGATCGCTGATAAATGGACGTTTTGTACGCTAATTGATGGGAAAAACAGACGTAAATGATCTTGAAATTTAAGTGGGTTGAATATGAACACAATTGTGAGTCATTCATGAGTGCAGCAGGAGGAGGGTGTGTTTTCGATGCGGATAGTCTGTCAAATATTGCAGCCCCTCTCCAATTAGAGAGAGTGAAATCTTTCTATTACAATTAGCCCAAAATAACTCCCAAATACTTTGTCAAAGTATCATTCAAGTAAAGATACTATCCCCCATCTACTGCCCAAAAAATCAAACCAATTTCAACGTTTAATTGTTATGTTTTGACAAGAACAACACCAAAGAAGAACCGACAAGAAACGCAAACACTGAAGTACACAACACCGAACACACAAACAACGATTCACCTTGACTCTGGAGCCACAACATTTGTGAACCATTATTATGATCAATCAGAGAGCAAACAAAAGGCCGCGCACACACACCACACGGCGATGATCATGTCATGGCAGAGGTGTTCTCTCGGGAACGCACGCAAATATTAGACATTTATTTGCCTAATGTGTTCCTAGCTGTGACATCAGAGACACTCATAAACTATAGATAGATAGGGAGCAACGGGAGAAACCAGAGAACCGAAGGAAAGTCTTATCAAACGCGTGCTTTGGCTTTCAAGATAAGAGATATATGAATAAGAGATATTATGGTATATGGCCACGAGTAGGAGGCAGCCAAACAAACAATTTCCGTAATTTGGAGAAAACTTTCAAATCGATGGAATGTTTGCGAGACCAGGTGGCAGGCAGGCAGGCAGCTATTTTCTCCCCAAAAATATCCTCAAGTGCAAAGTTCACAGAGTTCACTGGCATTTTCGAATGCGGAAGTGCCGTCATGCAACAACAGCTACAGTGGAAACTGCAGACAGACGAGACGAGCCGGAGGGTTTTGCAACACCACGCACACAGCCTCTGGTCGGTTGGTGGGCTCTGTCTGTGGCTACGGCAACAATTCGCGTACAAATGAATAATGAATGTTGCTTGAGTGTTGGCATTGAAGGTCAGCCAGTCGCCGGAGTCGCCAGAGTCGCGGATTCGCTGATTTGAATACAATCGTTGGAATCGTTGGTTTGGAAACAAGAATTTGCTCGAGCAACAGACACAGCCACGTCTTTAACATTTGGCTATAAATAGAGTTAACGGTGCTCCTTCCGACATCGGGCCACAGTCTCAGTCTCAGTCGCAATCCCAATCCCAGAGCAGGGCTCGGCTCGGCTCTCATTGGTATTTCAATTAAAGCCAGAGAGTTAGTCACACACTTGTGGCTTGTGGGCCAAGGGCACGGCAGACAGCAGCAGACGAGATTCCGTTCGAGTTTTGGTTTCAGTTTTTCTTTAGCATGGAATGGAAGCTTGTAATTATACGATCTACATGAAATTAAAGTTTCTGCTTCGCCCTTTTTGACATCCATTTTGAGGCCAACAAAGCAAAACACACACCACACAAAACATTCCATTGGCTTAGTCACATTTCAACCTCATATTTCGACACACGAAATTTTAGCTTGTAAATTATAATATATACAATATTTGAAGCTTCACCGCTCGCTCAGCTCCATCGCTAATGCAAATCATGGCTTATAAAGAAAGTTATCAAAATGCAGAGAGCCCCCGCGCGCATTGGGGGTGAGTTAGCCAAATATTTATGGTTTTTTTTTTGTATTGGGCAGATCTTTTGTGACGATCTTTAGATTGTAGTCAAACAAGATGGAAGCGAAAAGAGAATCAGAATTTGAATAAACTTTGCATAGATCGATTTCGCAATCAGATCTCCGAATGATGCTCTTTGTTCATTTTTATTTCTAATTAAATTTCAGCAATAAAGCTGCTGTCAAACCTGGAGCTGGGTTGACGTACCCAGAATCTATAAAGAGAATATAATAGAACAAGATCACTGATCTGGAAGTCGGGGAAAGATCACTGATCTTTAAGTAGCATTTTGTGCTGATAAGCTGGGAAATACCCCAGGGCTCTTGTAAAATGCCATTATTAAAAATATTTCCCCCATTATTAGCTACCGTATACCCATTGGGGTTCTTCCAATTAGTAATTACTTTTGGTAATATGATCATTTTGTTCAATTTCGATCAAGCCTGCAGTCAAGATTTCCTAATGATCTGCCTCTACCTGCCTCGAGCGATCATAATTTTCCACTTTTCCATCTATTACTCAATCCAGTCACCGAAGCGGAGCAAAGCAGCGTTTTGCATGTCAGTAGTAGAGACCTCTTTCAAGCTTAATGCTAAAAACTTGTCCGACAGCAGCTGACACTGGCTCTGGCTTTGCCTCTTGGCCTTTTGCGAGATACTTAAAAGTGAGAGTGCCCCCGGCACCCCAGCAGACCGGTCTAGTTCCTCTACTAACTATCTAGATTCAGAAACAAATGAGCTGTGCTTCGGGAATTGGTGACCCACAAACAGAATACCGAAGAAGAAGTCAAATGGGGGGCACACCACAAGGTGGATAGGTAGGTGGTGGCGCTTGATTCCAGCGTAACATTAGCACAGATCTTTCCACCTCTTCCCCACTCTCTCTCTCTCTCTCTCCTCTCCATCGCTATCATTTCTTTGTCATCTTTGTCTCTTGGCTTTTGGCTTCTGACTTTGTTTCTGTCTGATGATGATGATGGGGGCATAAAGATCGTCTCGGCTCGGTCTCGGATTTCACACGATTTCTAATTTAATGTTTTTTTTTTAATTTTTGATACCAATTCCAAGAGTCATTCCGCCATCGCATTTCATTTGAAATTCTTTTCCGCATTTCAATTAAATTTCTCCCTATCTCTCTCTGTCTTCTATGAACATTATCCGAGGCTCAAATCTCCACATAATTTTCCACATTCTTGCACGATCTTCCAGAAGAGTATTACATTTTGGGGGTTTGTTTGTCATGGTGTCGGCTGTCGGCTGTCGGTGTGCGACATTTGGCATTCGGTTTTGGCCAAAAACCTTTATAATTTTCTGTATTTCTACACAATTTTTTGAGATTTTTTTTTCTGTTCAGACCAATGACCGACAAAAATACACAAATCAACGGAGCGGGGCAACAACAACAGCAACAATAAAAATCAACTACAGCCAACAGTAAGACAAAAACAACAACAATGAAAAACCACAAACCGGAATTCTTCAAGTGATCTTTTCGGTTTCGGTTTGGTTTGTTGTTGATCAATCGAGCAAAATCCCCCAAGATTTCCACTGTTTCTCCGAGTGTCAATTCTCTACTGTGCCTCTGTTTCTGTTTCTGTTTCTGTCTCTGTCTTGGTCTGATCACCACGCCCACGGGGGCGTCAGACACCAGAAGCTGCAGCCGGACTGAACTAAACGTTTAGTCAATTCGATTTCTTAATGCACTCCGCGTCGTACGAATGTTAACAATTCACTTTCACTTTTAATTTGTGCTGTTTTTTCACCGTCTCTTTCTTTTCAGACTTTATTTTCCGTTCGCTTTGGTCGAGAATTTCTTGGGAAATCTTGGGAGGAACCTGAATCTCGGCTGCGGTCGGTCTGTCTCTCGGATTCCTCCACCCGGGTTCACACATGGAATGGAGATTATTGTTTATTTCAGAAATGTTTATGTAATTGTTGGAAATAGCCCAAAAGCATCTCGAGAATTACTATGCCTATGCCGCACTCGGCATTCGCTTATAATTATGTGTATTATTATGTCTTTTACTTTGCTTTAAGGCTCGCTCTCCCTGTCGCACTCTTGTGGATTATTGTTGTTGTAATACTCAACGCGCGACGAAGCGTGTATGCAAAAAAATGTAGCTGCCGAACGGAGCACGAAACACGAACACGAAGTACAGAAATGCAATTGCAGCCGAGCGCGCATGCGCTCTCACGTTGTTTTCGCTTATGCTGCCCCGAACGAATGACGCACTCCTCCGCAGTGTTGTGATTCCAACTGTTAAAAGAGAGAGAGCTCCAACAGCAACAGATGGGGATAGAGTAAAAAGAGATAACACAGCAGCCCCAATAGAAGCTCACAGCTGGCGCCAAGATATATTTAATGAAAGGTCGGGCAATGAGAGATAGACAAACCAAAAATGCCATGAATCTGATCGAGAGAGTAAGAGATCGGCCCGCTGCCCTACCTTTTATTTAATATTGCCTGGGGCCGCACTGCTCTGTTTTGTTTGTGGGTGAGATAGAGAGAGAGAGAGCGCCGATCAAAAGAGAGCGCATAAAAACGTGTACACACACATGCACAGGTACAACGCTGAGCAAAAGCAAGTGTGGAATGGAATCGAAGGTGTAGGGTACAGGCCGAACTGGTTGGCTATGATCGACACACATGTACGCTGCTGCACCATGCTCTATCTTCCGTCAAACGTAACACATTTTTAAATAAAAATGCTGAAAAATCACGTATGTATTTACGGACACACACACTCCAGTCCAGTGACCTTTTAGTTATAGATTAGCGCAACCGTCGTTTGTATGGGGAGGTTGTCTAACCACCGACCAGCACGCCCCTCCATTGAAATTGTTTTGTTTGCTAATCAGCATTTAGTTTAAATATAAATCAGAAATCAAAACATCATGGCCGAGTATAGACTTCTGTTTGGACTATTTTAATCAGACAGACTTTCAGCGTTCCAACGTTATCTCCTACTTAGGCGTTCCATTTCCTGCTGCAGGGCATCTGTACAGTCCACAAGGCCGATGCTTGCGAATCTTTTCCCATCTGCTGCTGCTGGCTGATGTTTGTGATATTTCTTTTCGGTCATGTGTAATGAGATCGACACTCTCCATAGCTGTGTCACTCTCTATAGCCTATGTCTCCTTTCCTCTCATATGATATGACTAGACAGATGCCGTGACATCTGTTCCCCCGAATATCCCACATCGAGTAGCGGGTTACAGGCTGTGTGTGTGTGTGCCCCAGCCGGCATCCAAGTGCGGACATCAGTGCTCAGGTTAAGGAAGCGCAAAATCTCTGAAGATTGTTGCATGATATTGAGGAAGCATCATCTTCCTCTTCTGCATCTGCAACTCCATCTTCATTTTTGCAAGATGGAACGCCAGTGCACATGATTTTTCTGTACATTACAATTATTTGTGCATAATTTCGTGTACACACCATACCGCCCCCTGGCTGTTGCAATTAAAATGCAAATGTTAGTACCGTACTTAAATTAAGTCTTCAACTAAATTAACACGAAATGTACACATAAATCTAGAAAACCCCAATGGAGGCCGCCCCCCCATAACCAAAGCTAAGCCAAAGACCCAGTCCAAATGCCTCTTGACGTGCAAATATTTAAAACAACAATTAGCTACGACTCCGGTGTTGTTGGAGTTGTTGGAGTCGTAGACACAAGAGAGCACACCCAGAAATACTCGTGAAGAGACACAGAAACGTGCAAAAAAAACAACAACAAAAACTATTAAACTAGAAAAAGGAAAAAAAAATGAAAGGAAAGGCATCGTAAGGCATTGTTCAAGAGTCACAGACTGACATTTTGCTGAACTTCTCTCCACTTGCGGCGTGGGTGTGTGGGTGTGCCACAGCCCCAAACCAGAATTGGGCCTGGGCACACGTGTGTAGAGGAGCTGAGCTGCTGACTGCTTATCTGCCACAACGAGTTGCAAGATCTTGGTTGAGTATGCAAAAGCGGAATGTAAGAATTGATGTTGAATAAATTCTATCCAAAATATCAAAAAGGAATTTGTATGGCTCGTCTGAACTAATTCTCTGAATTTAGAACAAAATTTCGTATTATTTCTGTAGCTTATATTTACAAGGGCTCAATAATATTTACATGTGTACAAATAGTACACATACTACTACTACTGGAAATGTAAAAAAAAAGGGACAAAATACAGAGATATAGAAAGAGAGAGAATGCAATTGCAGCTGCAGTAACAGAATATCATTGCCTGCTTTTGGGGCTCACGTCATATGTCATGTAATATTACACACTGCATACTTTTTAGCGTCACAGTAATACACACCCATGTAGAATGCATGTAGATAACAATGTATAGTTTCCACACGTCAAAATAAAACCTCTTTCTTTTGCCATTATTTCCCAGTTTCCCAGTTAGTTTACTCACCTTCCATAACATACACAATGCTGCCGACATCTCCCTCCTTGATGATCAGATTCTTGGCTGGATACTTAACGGGATACATGCAGTCGACAATTTCACGTATCTGCGACAGATCCAGATTTTTCATGAAATCATTATCCAAAATGGCAGACTTGATGAGATCACGGGAGCTGCAATCAAAAGCGATAGATATAAATTCAATTAGTTATGATTATTAAAAATGGCACAAAACTGTCAATGAAATGAGCTGCACGAGCAAAAGTCCAATTAATTTTCAGGCCGACACATATAAATCGTTTTATCTGCCAGTTTGTGCCAGCAGTTTGCCAGCTTACAAGCCATGCAACAAGTTGCCGCCGTTGTACCACCAAAAATTGCGCCGATGCGATGGAAATTGGCATGCGCGCAATCGACCGATATGAAATTAATACAAATTTGAAAATTGTATACTTCGGTTAGAGTCCAGAGAGTCAGGAGAGTGGGAGGAGTGGGGGATATGATGAGGGAGTGGGGGGGTAGGCATCGCACAGATTCATGGACTCATGGGTCCATGCCATGCCATGCCATGTTGCCAATGCCTGTAAATGTCAAATGACTTTATCTGTCAGCGCACTTGACAACTTGCGGCCCCGGCCAGACCACAGAAAAGAGTAATACGTACACTGAAAACGGAGGCATATCCAGGGCTAGGACCGACCAGTGATCTCAGCTGGGTGAGCAATTAAGGCCAAGACCATAGAAAACAATGCAAGAGAAAAATACTACCTACGTATCTATTAAATTGAATGCAGAACATTTGTAGAAACTTTTTACATAAAAATGTTTCTCTATTATGTATCTACATATAAGAGAAATTTCATAAAAATACCAAACGAAATAGAATTAACACCAATATAGCTGGACTGATGGATCTAACCACCAAAAGTTCACTGCACAAAACACCATGTTGCCACACGTTGCAATCGGCTGCTCAGTGCCGCCAGAGAGTTAATGATGAAGGCGTTGCACAGCCTGTCGTCGATGTGGGGTTGGGGCCAATTTGTAAGCTTCGTTTTTGGCAACGACTCGAATTGGGGAGTTCCATAGCGACAGTTTTGGGGCAGGAGAAAACCGCTGCAGCAGAACCAGCTACCCGCTTGCCCCAAAATCTGATGATGAGTTCGCCATTCGAAAAGGTAGTGGGGAGTGGGGAGTGGGGCGGGACACTCCATGCTGCACAGCAAAGCGACACCTGTGGCGCCTGTTTGGCGGGTATTCAAGCGCTGTATCGTTTTTTTTTTTTGGGTACTCCGCATAAGACTTACAATTAAAATATAATAAAATATCATAAAATATATAAAAAATATCGTGGACCGTGTCTAATCGATACGCAAGTCACGAGCGGCGGTGCAGTGCGGCGGCGTCTAGGAAGCGACAACAAGCAACATTTCTTGTTGCAATATAGAGAAAAATCCATGGAAAAGGTATTAGATTTCCACGCACTAGAAAAAGCCACAGAAACGGGTTTCGTCCTCCAAAAACAGAAGAAGGAAAAGAGGTAGAGGGTCGTGCTGCTGCTGCTGCTGCTGCTGCTGCTGTGCTGCAGTGGTGTGCACCCATGGGGCATTTTATATGCGTAAATTATCATTGGCTTTCCTTGTGCACCACCACGCGGCACCACAATTACCAACAGCTTCGTGTGGTGCGTGGTGGTGCCACAGAGGAGTACGAGTACGAGCCTAAACAATTAATAGCTTCAATTAGACCTACGAGCCGGATCGGCGTTCCAGTTCCACTACCAGTGGCGGCTGCTGCGCTCCATTGTCGGAAGCTATAACCATTTATATATGGCTATATTTGTGCGTAAATTTGATCTGTGAAATGTGTGCCAAGGCACGCACCCTCTCGCCCAGAGGCTGCACCTTAGAAAAGAAACAACAGAATGGAGCTAAAGTCCCAAGAGATCTTTTTGTAGGTCTGTTGCGGGTGCGTTCAATTCAATTTAGCGACAACCAAATTAAAGCTGCAAATACTTGACGGCTAAAAGCAGTTGACAATAAAATGAAGTGGCGTCTCGCTATGGGAATTGAGTAAATGGAAATTCAGACACCGCACTGTATGTATTATCCAACCAGAGATCTGGCTGTGGCTGCGGCTGTGTCTATGACTGGTTCTGGGTGGGGCCACCTATTCGTATAATCTGTGCAATGTGTGAGGTGTTTGCGGGTCCAAGATTGCTGGCAATCAAGGCTTGTAAGCCATGTCTCTGGGAGGAGACTACGACTGAGAGACTTATAGACAGACGACAACTTGGCAGCAATCAAAAGCCAAAATGGTTGACAAATTGACTGAAGAAATAAGGTGATAAGTAAATTGATAGCTGAAAGTGATCCATTTTTAGAGTGTTTATTGGGGAGGATTAATTAATTAGGATCACTTTAGATTCTCCCCTATAGAGTGGTATTTATGGTAATCAGTCTATTTATTTATTTATTTATCCATCTACCGTCAATACATCCATCTCAATCGCAATGTATGTAATGCATTGCCCTCCCCTTTAACACCCCCCTTCTGATATATTCTCATATAGCTCACACAAAATCAATATTTTTTTCTGCTATTCCCAGAATGGACTTATATAGAGATACAGAGCTGGATAGAGATACTAATCGGGGAGTGTTGTGTGTTAAATGGGTCCATTAGAGTCTATCTGTGTGAACTAATAAGGTACTAATTTGATGACAAATTTGTATGGGAAATAAAAATCACACCTTTCGTTGGCAGAAGAAGAAATTTGTAGACATTATGAAACTGTTTTATTTGCCATGTTTTCTAGTCATTAAAAATCTCAGTTTAATCTACAAATTTCTATCTTTCCGTCAACTCCTAGACCCAATTTTATGACTCTACAAACTCCGATGTTTGGCCATCTTTCATCTTGAAATTTGTGACTTTATTGCTATATGTATATTGGGGGCATGTAGCAAGTTCTCAGTCGACCCCCCGCCACTTGTGACTCTACGCGCGACTCCAACTCCAATTCAAATGCAATTTTCATGCAATTTTGTGGCATTATTTATTAGATGGCCCCGTTGAAAGCGACACACACATACTGTGCCACAGAAATGCAAAGTCTCAGGCCTGCGGCGCTTGTGATTTATGCCACGCAAGTGTCAAAAAATGTCCTGTTGCATGCGTCGCGCCGCCATCGGCATAGATTTTGGTCAGAGATAGAGTGGCCACACCACACCACACCACTCCCCCACCTATGCAAACCATGGAACACATGCCACCATTCCACCATTCCGGGGGAGACAAACTTTGAATTGCAATTTCATGGATTCGCGGGTCGATTTTTTGTGTGATTGTGTCAACAGTTTTGGCCATAAAAATGGCCGATTTGAACAAATTTGCGGCATTACTTAGAGTCAGATCTGCAGGGGGATTATAGCAGAGAGAGGAGCGAGCAATTGGGAAGCAATTTTCTAACACTGCGATCCCCAAGAGGAATAAATATTTACGTTGTTTTTTATGTTTTGGCAAGAAAAAAACAAATAGAGGAAATCTCTTACGAGAGGGAGAATGAAATCTGGCCAAGAGCAACGACTTCCAGGCAGAACAAACGGGAGAATGCGAGACCTGAGGACAGACACTGGCCAAAATGTGTGAAAAAGCTGCAGAGTCGACAGCCCACGCATTTTCACAGATTTAATTTTATATATCGGCTAATTTTTCCATTTCTTGGTATATTTCGAGCAGCATCAGACTGCAGGCAGCAGATTTGGAACAAATATCATGCATGAAAAAAGTGTCTTAAAAAAAAATATTCCACCAAGAGATATCCGAATAAGAAGCGCAAAACTGTGCGCATATTCAGACTACAAAATACCCTTTAATTCAGATGCTCCCACAGATATGATAAAGCAACTTATCGTAGTAAAAAAGGAACATTATGGGATCCCAAATTGAATTAAATTTTTTAAAAACTATTCGGAAAGTAACATTTCTCATGATAGAGTTATAACTTAAGTAATAATTCACTGGACTCTCTCGCAAAGTGCCGTATACGACTCCATTTCCACTTATTGTTGCCAAGAACCAATTTGTCATACATAAAGTCTCACGTACATGGCTTTATCTATATAATACAAAGATTTATGGCCCAAAAAAAACCTTTTTTCTGCCTGTTTTTATACACAAATACTCGTTCAACATACCCCTGAACCACTGCAAATACAAAGGGTACACAAAACGATGAACATGACGCAATGTAGCCTGTGATTTGGTTGCCAACTGGCATCGTCTCTCTATGGACCCACAATTCATTTACATCCACATACATATATCCACAGTATTCATAAAGAATATATCATGAATATTCGTGAATATATACGACATATACTGTATTGCTTGTGGGTTAAGACGATGGCGCAAGATGACACTGGCCAAGGCCACAGCCATAGGCACAGCGATCTTTGGGATTGGGGAAATCTGTGGGGAAATCTTTGTGAACTTGCGAATGTTGCCCACGACTGTCAGCAAAACTCAATTTTAATAAACGCATTTTGTGGCACAGGCGGCAGGCGACAAGCGACAGGCGACAGGGCGCTGCTCCCAATATTTGATTAAGATCATCGCCATGATGACGCCCCTCGACCATGGCGATCATTATCGTATCGCCACATCCGTATATACATATTTCTATAAATATATATACTACTTTATAAATACTATAAATAATGTAGGGCTATGGCTAATCTATGTGGCGAGCGATTAGAGGTTCAACTGATTTCAGAGCTTCAAAGCGAATGAATAACAAGTGAATCAGAAGGAGAAATATGTACAGTAGAAAAGTATTCAAAATTCAAATGGCAAAAGAGTCAAATGGAAAACATATTTGGCAATTAATATTACTAAATTCTAAAGGAAGATATAGCGGACAATTAGGGGACGAATCTACGTAAATTTGTATCCAAATATATTTTAAAGCAAGCATAGTACAAAATATACTGAATATTGAACAATAAATCTCATTGGAATCTTCGGAATTGATGGATTGCAACACTAAAAATATATTTGTCATTGATTTGAACATGTTACAGAAAATAATATTGATCGAAAACTAATCAAAAATGATCAAAACGTTGTGCATTCCATACGCAATCAATCTAGGAAAATCAAACACAATCAATTTGTAGCATTAGTGTGTGAATATCAATGGAATTGTATTAAATTATCCATTGAAACAGAATTAACAACACTTTTTTCTTCACTTTATTCTCTCTAATTTATTGGATCTAATGAATACTTTATTTAAATGCGAATTAAGTCCCTCATGAACACTGCTGTATGAAAGTAAAACATATTGAAAGTGATTTAGTTCTACCTTTGGGCATTTTGTTTAATCGATTTATTTGATTTATTCGATTCCAAAGATCCATTTCAATAAGGAATGATGCAATTTAATGCATGATTTCGTTTTAAAAATTTTTACAATGAAGAGCTTTAATCTCTTGGGAGAAGATTACAGAAAAAGAGCAGTGAACTCTCATTTTTTTTTTCATCAGAATACTGACCATCCATGGTCTATATTAAAATGCATTTAATACACTTAATCAATTTAAAACCTTGGCCCAAAGGCCCAAAGAGGGAGGTGGTGGGTATGTCCAATGGGTGGAATTAATTACCTAATTACTGGAAAGTACTGAAAATTCCCTCCCGGAATCTCACTTACCGCTCATTTTTGTCGTATTTGCGAAATGTGACATGCTCCAGCAGCACTGAAGATTCACTCTGTGGCTCTGCGGATATGCCTTGGGCACGCTGTCGCTGGAAGGTCTGTCCAGATTTGCGGGTGGCACCTGTGGCCGTGCTGGGGCCACTGCCACCGCCCGAGGATCCGCCCGCGCCGGCGGCACTGCTGCGACTGAAGGGGAAGACGCTCTGGAATTTATCCAGATGGGATTTGAGTTCCGCTATTTCGTTGTCCTTGAACTGGAGAGCACGCTGCATTTCCTGGATCTTGAGATCCTTGGCCTGGATGATCTGTATGAAGCGCTCCTCCTGTGGCGTGGCAGCCACATAAGCGGCCGTGTTGCTCATCATCAGCGTCGGCTCGCCCATGCCCACCGGCGAGGGTGTGGCCGAGCCGGGACTGGGGGCGCCACAGCCTCCGGATATCCGCAGTCCCTGCATCTGTTGTTGCACCTGCGCCAAGGCCAGCGATGAGGGATGAGGCAGTGGCAGCGGCAGCGGCAGTGGCTGTGTGGGCGAGTTGCAGGCGGCAAAGTTGGCGGCTCCGGGTATGGCCACCGGTTGACTCGTTCCCGGATTCCCACTCGGACTCGGCTGGTGGTAGAGCACGGGACTGCCCGTGTTCGCGTAGAGTCCCTGCGTTTGGGCCTGGAGCTGTTGCAACTGCTGGTAGCGCTGCTGCAGCTGCAGCTCCTGTTGATGCAACAGACTCCTGGGATCCGTGTGCAGCTGCTGTGCCCCCGATGGCGGTGTGCCGTAGATCAGCGTGTGGGTGAGGACATCGGAGTGCGGCGGTGGGGCTTGTATCAGCCGTAGACCCGATGCCGTCTGCTCGAGACCCAAAAGTCCAAGGTTATTACCAGCGGAGGGCAATGTCACGATGCCGCCGCCGCCGCCCAGCAGATTATTATTATTATTGTTATTGTTGCTTGTCGCGCCGTAAGTGTTGCTGTTCGCGTTATTGGCCGCGTTCTGGACGATGCTCACCAGACCCAAGTCGGTTTGGAACTGATAGTTGGCGTTCGGCTCCTGCTGCATGCTGGCTGCTTTACGGATCTTCGGATCGTCGACGGAATCGGAATCTGGTGATAGTATCTTCGGGTTCGAGTGGTGCTTCGGTTTCCTACGATCTTCGGCACTGCTATGACGGCGATAGCGACGCTGCTCTTGTTGCTGTTGCTGCTGTAGATGTGCCTGTATTTCTGAGTGTAGCTGTTGTATCTGCAGCTCTGTCTGCTGTATCTCTGTCTGTATGGTAGGTGTCTGGGATTGCATGCCAGATTGTGGGGTCTCCTTTTGGGTATTTCCTTCCTCCTCTTTTTGTGGCGCTCCGATGTCCGGTGGCTTATCCCTGTAGTCCCTATGGATTATCGCTGGCTTCAATTTCTGATATTCCGCATAGAATAGATCTCCTCCGCCACCAATGGGCTGTGGTAGCTGTTTCTGGGGTGGTGCTGCTGCTGCTGCATCTGTGGTGCTGTGTGGGCTATGGCTATGGCTCTCGGCGGTGCTGTTGCTGGTGCACTGTGGTTCATTTGTGCTGGGGCTGCTGCTTTGGCTGCGATTGTTATTTGTGGCTGGCCGCTTGGTTGCGAAGCACAGCCTATCAAAGCAGAAACGCATCCTCCAGGCGGCCTGCAGACACAACAGCCGCCACGGAAATGATGCTCAATGTAGCAAATGAAGCCCTGAAATCAGAAGAGAATATTTACACAATTAGTTGAACATAATTTTAAAAGAGAGATTAAATTAAGTAACAATCAATAGAATACGATTAAGTTGAATCCTACTAAAGCACAATCGGTTATTAAATCTAATCTACAGTTAATCTTTTTAATCCATAACTAGTCTTTAATCTAAACCGGCTAAACTGATTGAGCAATGAAAATCGGAATGCTTTGATTGAATGAAAAAAATACCCAACAGGGGTAAGAAATTCTCAATAAGCGACCCACATTGTCATTTCTTCAGCTTGAATTTCCCATAGAATTCCCATATCAGACACACATTTGCTTATCATTTCTGTTGGCTATACAACCTCTACATTAATTTTTTTGGGGGGGTGGGGGTGAGCGACACGCCCTTAGTCCATGGAGATAACACTTGCCAATCGTATTTTGTATCTTCAAGTAAGTTTCGCTGCAGAGAAATAATTCCAAAATATCAAATAGATAAAGTGGCATAACGCTTTTAGTTTGTTTGCCTGTGCTTTTGTTTCCAGACACGTTTCAAGACAGACAATAATTCAAATGGAATGGCCAAGTATAGTATCCAAAAATAAACCCGTCTAAAATATAAACATGGTCTGGGGTACATTGTAAACAGAAACTACTTATAGTAGAAGGAAAACAAAAAGCCCCTATAAACAAGTGTGGCAGGTTTTGGGAAAGAACAAGCGCATAGAATAATAAGCGAAAACATTAATGAGTGGGCGGATCATGAGTGGATGGCATCCAAAGAGTGATAGCATGTGGAAGATTGAAGATTAGTCTTCAAAATTCAAGTTCAATTTCGAAGGTGAAGATCATTCTGGGGAGTGCCCGAAGCACGAATGAAAAGGAAAACGACTGTTGAGGAAGATCAGTTTGAAAGCAAAGATGCTTGGAAGATCTCAAGGAAGCATCGGCTATGCGATCACATAGTGGAAAGGTACAGTTAAAGTCCCCCAATTAAGTAGCAACCCAATAGTTAACCCAATTTGTTCAGTTCGCCATTGGATTTAAATTTATTGTTATCCCATCTCAAAATTGAACAAAATGCTTTATGAATTACGTTAAAATGCTATAAAAAAACCACTAAATAAAGATCACCTTCCAGACATAAAAAAACAGAACAGTTTAAGCATAAAGATCCGTTTAGAAACCTGTCCAACATCATATTCGTTCAGCATTCACCTTGTGGGCTAGGGCTCATCGATGCGTGTCAGTGGAGTGGAGAACCCCCGCAAATTATCTTCAAACGATCGTTTTAGACGCACATTAGCATTGTTAATGATTGCACAGGGGATTAATGTTAATGTACGATTCGTATGCGCCCGGGCACTCCATAAACAATGGCGGGACAATCGACATTGAGTGCTAAAAAACGGTGGAACGGATACGGCTATGGGATACAAGATAAGAGATACGATGGATACCACCCCACAAAATGCGGGCAATTATCGATGGGTAATTACCCGCAAAATTCTATAAATGCAATTCTCGCGATCCGCACACCAATCCAAAATGACAGTGACAGTTATTCCTTCGGAGAACAGAAAGAAAACAAAAAACAAATTGAAACAATTGATGGAAGATTCCGAAACCACGAACAGAGAGACGCTTCGGTTTTATTTATAGACACAATTGACGGGTACCCCCGTTTAAATGTATCTGTATCTTTGTATCTGTCTGTCAATGAATTTGCTGGCAGCCGCTCTCGTGATCGGGGGGCTGCCACTTAAGCGCAATTACGATTGCAATTTGTTTCCATCTCGTGGCCATAAATAAAAAAGGAAACCAAACGAAAGACAGTCAGTCGACTTTCGTAATATTTTAAATGATTTTATATTTTTATTATCATTTAAATGATTCTGATGGCAACTCTGCTGTCAAACAGGTTACTTCGTTCGCTCTCTCTCGCTCTTTCTCTCTCCTTTTTCTTTTTTTTAATTAGTATTATGAAAACATTTATAAACGACTGCATTTTGTTGAATGTCAACTCGGTTTTTGGCCGCTGGGGAGTGAGGGTATTAACATCGAACATCGATCGTGAGTTCATTCATGCCGCCACTGATAACACCCCACCCCACAGAAAACCAAATCAAACTCATGCCAGAGAATCATCGTATATATACATATATACATATGCATTATGTATCTGAAGCTTTGCCCATTTAGGGAAATTCTCTGTGCATCGGCGTGACTTCTAGTAGAAATCCCTGACAGCAGCAGCTCACGAAGGCGTTTAAGATTGAAAGATACACGCAATTAGTGTGTCATTATGATCACTGATAGCATTCGAATAGATGTAACAGGTTGTAGATACTCCCTGTAGATACAGTCTCAAGGCAGTTTTGCAACAAGTTTAGAGTAGAATTCGTATTCCCTGGTACGCCTGGTATGTTTCTGTTCGGATTACTCATCAGACATTGCTCCCAATAAAATGATATCCCTTTTATAGTCATAATTTAAGCCATAGCTAAATAAGTTTATCTCCATTAAATCCTATCGGAAATTAATTTCCAATTCACTTAAATCTCAAAAAGGCATTGGAAGCCATTGATCGCTGATCATCTTTGACATCCATCCGTCCATCCATCCATCAACATCAATTCCCAAAAGCAAATATTAAAATCTGTGCGGCAAAATTTCTTTCGCTTTTCAGCAAATTGCAATCATCATCATCATTCCATTCCCATCGTCATTTGGCTAATCAAAACTGACATTCACGATCATTTCGGAGGAGCCAAAGCCCACATGGCAAGTGTCCCAGCTGTCAATCTGAGCGTCCCAGAGGAGGAGCAGCTCTGAGGCGGAGACAGCGCCCCGACAACATCATGTTAAACAAACAACATAATGGGGCAGTGGCAGGCATGGGGCATGGGGGCATGCCAGAAATGCCGTACGCATTCGAATCATTTAAAACATAATTAAGCGTTTAGTCAGCGTCTGAATATCTTTTCCGCTCCACACACAGAGGAGAATTGAGACATCAATTTGAGGGGAGAGAGTTATGTCAGCCATATTGGGGCACACAGATACAGATACCTAATTGTTGCTTCCTCATGCTCGAAACTGAAACAAGAATTGTCCGGATTTAATTCAGAGCGCCTACACTTCACTACAAAACATATTCCACACAAATTGATTGTCTTTGGGGGAATTTAATTCCATTTCTCGTTCGATTCCGTGCAATTATTCGAGTTATTTTTTTCCATTATTTCTGTGTGTGTCTGTGTGTTTTTCAACATTTCAGTGTTGTGTGTTTTGTAATCAATAAAATTGTAATAAAAATTCAACATTGCATCTCGATTCTTGCGTCGTAAATTCTTATGAAATTTCAAGCGTTGACAACGCCGCGACGAAACCCCGTCGTGACCCGTGCAACACAAAATGGTGACCCCCGCACGCAAATTAGCGAATGCTTTACGCAAAATCTACTTCAAGTCGAGGCCTAAGATCATCGCTCATTAGTATTTTGTTACTGTGTAACGACACGATACCCTGTAGTGTAGGGAGTGCAAGGGTAGATGGGTTTTTAAACAGTCTCTCAATGTATTCATCTGGATTGGACTATTACAGACAGAGCAGAATAAGCAAGCAACCGGGACCCTATTCCCGTATTTTATTTCCTATGAACCGAAACAATTGCGGAGAGTGCCGAGTGGAGCGAGAGTGAAGCCCTTTACTGCAATGGAATTGCTCTCGCAGCAACAACAATAAGAATAAAGGGAAGAGCAGATAGAGGGAGAGCAAAAAATTGGCGAGATTTGCTGAGTGCGTGCAAGGAGCAAAGCTGTCACCAACCAGAGGGTTTGGGAGAGAGAGATAGAGAGAGAGAAAACAATAAATTGCGACTCACAAATTATTATCGCTTCTCGCCATCGCATCTCATCGCAATGCAGTTCTTATCGCACTCTAGGCGAAAATGTGTCCAACCAAAAGGTGCAAGAAAAGAAGCAGAAAGTACACGAATATGAAATGAAAGGAAGAGCTGCTCACTTTTGCTGACATATACACAAAAGTAGTGGGTAAGCTATGGATCGAACATCAAGGAAATATAAAAGCTATTCCTTACTTGTTATCTTTTTTATATCTGTGTAATTTGTTGATTTAGTTTTTTGCTTTGGTTTAGTTTTACTTTTTTTGGTTGGTAGTTTTATTTATCGCTTATTTTTTGGGTTTTACAAATGTTCATTAGTCCCAGCGACACGTCCGTTGATCGATCGATCGCTATGCTATGCCTGCGACTACCTCGTCCCCTGGCCCCTGGTCCCTGGTTCCGCCGAAGGCAATTGATCGCCCGATAACACGAAAAAGACATTCAGATACGCGACAGAAAACAGTCATTCGATCGTTTCGTTGGTTCATTTAGTTGGTCTTTTAGTTGGTTTAGTTTCGGGCATTAAGTGTGCTCATTCTGCTCGTATTCGTACTTTCACGAGTATCTCTATCTATGGGATACCCATGGAGACATTCGATACCCGACTCTGACGCCAGTTTCTATGGCGAAAATTGGCGAATGCACAAAGCAATTTGGTATGAAACGCACGTTCGATCAATTAAAACCTTTGCACAGCGGGAACCAAACGAAACGGGAATGGCTTTTGGTGTTTTTTTTTTTTTTTTTTGGAGACAGTCTCGAAATTAACTTGAATTTAAAGCGATTTCTCAAAGGTTGTGGAAGGGTTAAGACAGCAGGTGAATGGGGATGCCTTGAATGCATTAGGAGCAGTCTTTAAGGGGCATATAGAAGTTTATTCCATTGAAAATAGAAGGAAATATTTGTCATGCATTGCATACAATAATCGTGGAAAAATGCAAGCCCTAACTAATTATGCCCCAACATTCCTATACAAAAATAGCAGAAAACTAAATGTTTACTTCATAATATCTATAAAATATTCGTGGAACGAATCGCGCAGCAGTGCCTGTCGACTGGTTCTGCGATCCTTACAACAGTCCAACTTTTTTCTAGATATCCATCA